TGGCGCGGAGAAGAACCTTCGTCGCAGGTGTGGCGCAATCGAGATTCGCAGTTGTTTGAGGTCATCCAGGCCGATTACGATGGAGCCATCACCGATGGCGACAAGGCGCTAAAAGATTCCTGGGACTCCTTGGCAGGCAAAATCGTTAGCAGGCTCCGCGAGGCTCATGCGTAGGTTCACCAAGGTCCAGAAATGTCAGCCCACGATCGTCGAGCGCTCCCCAGACATCTTCACTTCGGACCCCCAGTGCCTCCTCGCTTGTGAGTTTGGGAACGCCAAACTTACGCCGTCCTTCGCTTGAGAACCTAATCGTTAGTGTTTCCCGCGAGCGAGCCCGTCAGATATTCGGGCCGCTTCGCGATCTTTCAGCCGTCACATGTCCCAGACCAGACGCTGGACGGCTACCACCCCAGGCACTTCGCTGGCCTCAGTTGGACGTCCTGGCGATGCCCTACGAAGCAATCGAGCGCCTAGTTGTATATCTATATATATATATATATTTATCCTGCCCAGCTGCTGTGGATGTTGATGCCACTCTTGGAGAAGCCTAAAGGTGGTTTTCGGCCGATTCTCCTCCTGGGGTCCCCTGTTCGAGTTTGGGAACGGCTCCGTCGGCGCCAGTGCAACGACTGCCTGGAGAGCGCACATCGGCCCTACCGGCCTTTCAGGTATGGTCTGAACTCAGCGGCGTCGATATGGAACCAGAGCGTGCTCTCGGAACAGGCTTCTTCGAATGGTAAGCCCGCGGCTGGTTCCATCTGGGGCGGCATGAAGTCTTGCGAGTCCCGTATCCTGGCGTGGACCCCGTGATCCCATGGTCCTCGAAAAGGCGTTCTATAACCTTCGCAGGTCACCCAGGATCCTCAGGCTTGGGGCCAGTCGTTGTCCCCTGGTCTTGTTTGCTGGACATGGGCTCCCAGCTGGAGACATGTTCAATAATGTGCTCGCTGAGATTACGCCATGTTCGAGTTCGACATGTGGTCCCAGAAGCACCCTGAGGTCCCCCTAGGCTCCTGCGTTGACGACGGCACGGTCAACGTGCACGGCGACGACGATGTGATTGTAGCTAAGTTGGCGCAATCATGGGTTGCTCGCAATCGCGTTTTCTCCAACAGGCTGGCTGCTTGCCTGACCGAGGATAAAGCTGTCACCTTCGCCTCCTCGCAGCGCCCCGCCAACCCTCTGTGCCGTCGCTTGCGCGCGGCGCGCCCGTGGCCGCGACCAGCGGCGCCGCGTCGCTGGGCGCGGACCTGGCCCCAGGTCTGCGGCGAGCTTGCAAATAGAGGGGGGCCAAAAGGCAGGAGACATTCAAGATGATGAGGAAAAGGCATCGGATGATTTCGCATTATCGTCGAAAGCTTCCTCGGTAAAAATTTAGAATGCAGAGGATGTAGATTGCGGGCGTTCGCCCAGCTGCTGGTTTTGGCGCCATGGTTTCGGATCTGACTGACGCGGAGCTTCGGCCCCTTCAGAGGGTCCTCTTCGCCGGCCGTGATCCCGCGCATCGGGGTGCTTCTCTGACGGCCAAACTCGCGTTGCATGGCGACCCTGCCTGGAAGCAGTCTGCGGCCCCAACCTACCAGTGGCATTCGAGCTCGTGGCGAGCTACGGCAAAGCCTGACACGTCTCCTTTCTCGTTTAAGCAGCACGTTCGTATTTGGCGGTGCACGGTTCAGGGTCAGGAGCTCGACCGGGAGCCCGCGGGTCGGTACAACTCGGGGCCTTGTTCACCGGGTGCGCTTGTGTTTGCGCGGGATTGGGTGGGAGGCGGTGGGTTTCTCAATTTGGCACGACGAACGAGGACATGTCATCGACCTGCTACGCACCTCCCCCGCCATGCTCAATGAGCTCCTGGAGGAAGGCGTCCAGCGGATGCATGAGCGTAGGATGGCCAGCACTCTCCCTGACCTCTCTGCCGCTCGCGTTTCGCCTGACCACCTTGGGCATTTGCATCGCTCGAAGAAGCTCGGCGGTCGGGAGAAATATCGGCTCTCTGCGTGTTTCTCGGCGGCCTGCTGGACTGCGGATCGGTTGAAGGCTTCGGGGTGCGTTTCCGATGGGGCCTGTCCGTTCCGCGGGGAACCCGATGCCATAGTCCGCGGGCTGTTTGTTTGCGCCGACCCGACCGTCGAGGATGCACGTCGCGAGCATCTCTCAGACGAAGACAGCCATGTTGCTCGAAACTGTGCCCCTGAAAAAAATGATGTTTTGGTCTCGTTTGGTAGTGGCTCAGCCTGAAGCGCCTCGCCCTTGCCTCGACCTCGGCCCTGTGCCTCAAGGGCCGCCAGCGGAGCCACTATGTATCGAGGAATGTTGTGCCCGAGGCGTCGGCGCACGGATTGTCGTCGGCGGTTCTGCTAGCCAGTTTGCGTTCCGAGAGTTCAATCGGGCTGCCTATGCCGCGGTCTTCTTCGATCGGTCGAGCGCGACCCCGCGCGAGCTTCGAGCTCGACGTCTGGGCACGGCGTGGCCAAGCCTCCCCCCGACGCCACAAGCTGGGGAGCACCTAGGCGTAGCCATGCTCGCTCGTGTGGCCACAGGCCTCTGCGAGGCTCATTATGCTTGTTTGGGTCTTTGTCGCTTGACACCTCTCGGGCGTCTTCTCAGCTGGGCCCCAGCCGCGTGTTCGCTTGCCTTCGGAGGCGTGCCCTCCGGAAACGTTGCCAATCATATGTTGCTTCGGTTTTCCACACACCTGCCCGCAGGTCTGAGGAGGTCACAGCCGCGCTTCATGCTCGGGAGCGGAAGATTGCTCTTGGTAGCCAGGGCGCGGACCGTCTTGCGAAGCATGCGCTGTCGTTCCATCTGTCTCTGCCCGCCGAAGAGCTCGAGCATTTACAGACCGAGGGGTTGCCCTTTTACAGGAGCTAGTGGCTATGTTCGTTGCGGTCCCTTCGCTTTTTTCCCCGAAGCTCGAGTTCCATCGGGGTCCCACGGCCCCTGGGGTTAAATCGTGAAGCCTGCGAGCCATCGAATTGCGCGACTGGGTTCTCCTGGGCCCTGGGGGCGAGGAGAACCCGTGCGCCGTTATGCGCACCAAGTGTTTCAAAACGACGTAGGTGTAAGGGTACAATTGCTGCGGGTTCCGCTGGCACCACATGTCGTGCCTTGGCCAAGTATGTACTGCGCAAGGCAGCGGTATCTGGCCCAGCCTCCCCGTCGTTCTGCCGCCCGCGCCTTATTTCGACACCTGGAATGTCGGCTCTGGCGGGGAGGATTCGGCAACGCGACATGGCCGCCCGCGCAGCAGGATCGGCCTGAGGCCGAGGTCGCCGATGTTCTGCCCAGAGACCCTCGTGAACAAATCCTCCCCCTCCTCCCCGCTTCCCTCCCCTCTCGCCCTCCTCCTCGCCCTCCTCCTCCTCGTCCTCCTTCTCCTCCTCCTGTTCCTCCTCCTCCTGTCGCCCTCCATTTCTCCTCTTTGCCATCCTGCGTCCTTCCGTTCCCCCCTCTGGCTTCTCCTCTTCCTGGAATGTTTTTTTCCCCCCCCCTCGTCGTCGTCCTCCGAGTCCCCCGCATCCTCTTCCTCCTCGGGCTCCGCCTGCTTCTCATCGCATTCTTTCGGCACCCTTCCTTTTTAGAGTCTTCCTCCTCCATCCGCCCTTCTTCTCGTCGGCCGTGTCCTCCATTTCCCCGATCGTCCTCCTTCTTATTTCTTTCGTCCTTAGGGAAACCCTGGCTGGCGTACATTGTCGCTCTTCCTCATTTTCCTCCAGGGCAGGGCGGTTCCCTCCTGCTTTCCCTCCTCCTCATACTACTCGTGCCCCCCCTTCGATGATGACGACGACGGCTACATTGCCGTCGTCGTCGTCGTCGACGTCCCTTCTTCCTCCTCGTTTTCCGCCTCCTTTCCATCCTCCCTCACCGCCTCGTTCTCCTACCCCGGCGATTGTTTCGATGACGTCGGCGTCGTCCTTGTGGTCCGTCCTCCCGTCATCGTCTCACCCTTTCGTATGCCGTGTGATCCTCCAAATCCCCCTTTCGGACGTGTTCTGAAGTGGGGTCTCGCGATAATTGCGACGGGGATTCAAGCGCAGCGACGAGGGGCCCCCGAGGACCCAGAATTGTTTAAAAGCCGTCACCGCGTTCTCCTCCTCATCCTCCTCCCTCTTCGCCTCCTCGTCCTCCTCCTCCTCCTCCTCCTCCTCCTCCTCATCATCATCATCATCATCATCAGCAGCAGCAGCAGCAGCATCATCACCGTCATCAGCATTATTCACATCATCCACATCATCCACATCATCATCGTCATCATCGTCATCATCATCATCATCGTCGTCATCATCAGTATCAGTATCATCATCATACCTCATCCTCATCAGCATCATCAGCATCGTCATCATCATCATCGTCATCGTGTTCATCCTCATCCTCATCCACCTACTCCTCATCCTCCTCATCATCATGACCATGATCATACTCCACAGCGTCATCAACACCTTCATAATCGGTAGCAGCATCAGCAGCATCAGCATCAGCAGTATCGCCATTATCGTCGTCACCATTATCAGCAGCATCACCATTGTCATCATCATCTTCATCGTATTCAGCATCGTCGCCAGCTGTGCCATCATCATCGGCAGTACCATCTTCAGCATCATCATTAGATCATCATTATCAAGATCATTCCCATCATCATCGCCATCATAATCACCACCACCATAGTCACCATCCTCAGCATCATCAACATCATCACCATCACCATCAAAAATTTTATCACCATGTTCATCATCACCGTAAGCATCATCACCGTCCCCATCACCATCACCATCATCATCATCATCATCAGTAGCATCATCACAATGACCACGCACAGGCTTATCATCACCATCAGCACCATCATCATCATCATCGTCAGCATCGTCACCATCACCATCATCATCAGCATCAGCATCAGCATCAGCATCAGCATCATCATCATCAATACCACAGTTCTAATCATCATCCTTATCCTCATCATCATCATCATCAGCATCATCATCTCGCCCCTCCCCATCGAGGCTTCGGGACCTCGAGCAGGCCTGCGTCAGGGCCACCGTCTGGCTGGACCAGATGCTGGCGAAACAGGCGAAGGTGCCGAGGCGCGCTCTTTACCGCCTGTCGCCGCCGCCTCCGTCGTCGTCGTCGTCAACCTGAACGCCGCCGCCTTGTCGTCCGCGCCGAGAGCGGCCGCCGCGGCCACGTGCTCCGCGCCTGGCAAGGGCAGCGAGGCGACCAGCACCTGCGCTGGCGAAGAGGCCGATGCAGCCCCACGCAGCAGCAGAACGCCAGCGGCATCCGGAGTGCGGCGACCGCGGGCAGTTCGGCGGGCACTTTTTGGTGCGGACCCTGTCGAGGCCAGGGCGCGAGGCGCAGGGGGCCGCGAGGCCCACGCTCACGGCGGAGCCGAGCAGGCCAGCGCGCCAACCCCGCCCGAACTGCCTGCCAGCAGAGGAGGCCAACGCAGCAGGGCGCGAAGACCATAGCGACCAAGGCTCGAAAGAGAACCAACGCCACAAAAATGAACTTTTGGCGCTCCAGGATTCGCGCTGGGCCCCACCAGCGGCGCCTCCAGCGCCGCTGGGTGTCCAGCGCGGATCCAGGAAATCCGCGCGGAGCGCCAACAGTTTGCATCTATGGCGTTGTTTCTTCTTCCAAAGCCTCCGAGCGCGGACGGCGCCAGCCGCCCCTCCGCCTCAGCCCCGACGTGGTGAGGCGGAGGAGCTTGCAACGACAGTCGCCCACAGTCAACCCGCATGGTGAGGATGGGCATCCTTCCCAAGGGTACTCTTGCATCCACGCCCCCTCGGTCCCTCCCTGGCCACCCCCGTTGGCCGTGCCCCGCTCGAGGAGCTTCGAGATGGCCTTCCAAGGCCCTGGCACCCTTCCCGCGCATCCTTCTCATACGGGCCGACGGTGGTCGACCCGTCCCCCTCAGGGGGACGTCTCGCGCGTCCGCCCGGCCAGCCGCCCGTCCGTCCCGAGGGGCGCCGGGACCCCTGCGCGGGCCGCGGGCCCGCGCAGCGCAGGGGGTGCCACGGCGCAGGTCGCCGCGGGCCGCGGGGTCGCCGCGGGCCGTCCCGCGGGCCGCGCGGGGCGGCGCGGGGGCCGTCGGCCGCCCGCCCGCGTCGCGCTCGGGTGCCCGTCGGCGCGGCCGTGGCCAGTGGGGTGGGGGTCAGAGGAGGAAAGGGTGCCGATACCTTGGCATCGCTCGGACGTGTGTACGTTTCCTTCGGCGGGGACCATCGAGGAGCATCCTTGATCACTCGGCGAAAAAACCACGCACGAAACCGACGAAAGAGCACAGGGAATGGACGTCCGAGCGATGGCCAGATTCGGCTACCCTTCGCCCGGTGTCCTTTGTTCCTTCTTTCCTCGGAGGCCCTCGCTGCCACCGCTGGATTCGCCCCGAAGGGGGAAGAGGTACCAATGCGGCTACCCTCCCCCCCGCCCCACCCGAAGCAGTGTCTCGGGCAGTGGCGCCCCTCCTCCTGTCTGCACGCCTGTGCTCCCCCTCCCCGCTCCTTGTCCCTCCTTCCCGCCTTCCCCCCTCTCGAGTGGGGAGCAGGGCCGCGTCATCTCTCTTTCCCCGCTCCTCCCCCTCCTCCCCTTCCGTTTCCCCATCCTTTGCCCTTTTCCTCCTCTTCTTCCTCCTCCTCCTCCTCCTCCTCCTCTCTTCCTCCTCCTCCTCCTCATCCTCCTCCCCCTCCTTCTCATCCTCGTGTTCCTCACTGTTTGACGTTCGGCAAACTTGATCAGCTTGGGTTGTAACGTCTGCATCTTCCTCCTTCTTTCTTCCTCCCCTCTTCCCTCCTCTATCATCCGAAGGAGCGGCGGGGGAGAATGGGGTAACAGGACATCGGCGATGAAGATGCTGATGCTGTTGGTGGTACCGATGCTGTTGATGGTGGTCATGGAGATGATGACAATGGTGAGCCCCTTTCTCTGGGGCGCTCTATGGGCGACTCCAGGGCAGGTCCTACAGGTTGTTTCTCAGATAGTGGGCCATGCGGGAGAACTCCATGGAGTTGCTCCTTGCAGAGGGCCGGCGACATCAGCGAAGGCTGGCTCTTGGCCACGGCCCGCGCTACCAGCCGAAAGCAGCGCATCAACCGCCAGCGACGCGTTACGTGCTTATCGGGCACAGCGCAAGAGGCGGGCTATCGAGCGCGCCATCAAGGCCGAGTGACCACGACATGAGCGAACTGCCATTTCCTGGGCAGGAAGGAGAAGTTAGCGTAGCGAGCACCAAGATGCGGCCGGGACATGAAAGAACTTGACGACGATAATTGCGCGGACCTGAACAAGTTTCTTGAATCAGGATCGCGCGCACATGTTGGAGAGGCCTGACGGCCGGTGCCGCCGACCCTGATCGACGACGACGGCGACGACGAAGACGAGGGAGGAGGAGGAGCAGGAGGACGAGCAGGATGAGCAGAAGGATGAGCAGAAGGAGGAAGAGGAGGCGGTGGGCGAGGTGGGGCAGCAGCAGGAGGACGCGGGGGACGAGCAGGAGGAGGAATGAGCAGTTGGAGGGGGCTCCGGAGGAGGGGCAGGAGGAGTGGCAGGCGGAGGAGGGGGAGGATGCGGCGAGGACGACGACGCTGGCGTGGGTCTCTTCGGGGCGCTCTCGGGAACCTCTGGGGAGCAGTTTGGGGGCCTCTTGGGGCTTCCTGGGGGCTTCTTGGAAGCTTCTTGGGGCCTCTTGGGACCGCTTGAGCGCTCTTGGAGCCTCTTGGAGGCATGGGGGCCTCATGTGGTGGAAGTCTAGAATTCTCGGTTCCTCGTCCCCCTTTGGGCACTCTCTTGGGCCCGTCTTGGGGCCCTCTTGGGGCCCTCTTGGGCCGTCTGCGGCGCCTCTTGGGCCGTCCTGCGTCCCTCTTGGGCCGTCTGGGAGCCCTCTTGGAATCATCTTGGGCCGTGTTGGGGCGCTCTTGGAGGCCTCTTGGGCCGTCTTGGACCGTCGGAAAACCGAAAGCATTCAAAAACTAAGGCAAAATTGACGATTTTGGCTCCTGGGGCCCTCTTGGGAGTTGGCTCCTTGGCAAAATTGTCAGTTTTGGCTCCTTGGGCCGTTTTCGAGCAGTCTTGAACATCTTGGAGAGAGCGCGCCCGTGCGAAACTCGCAAAGGGGGGGGGTCCCTCCTTAGCTACCCCCCCCCCTTGGACCCCCTCTGCTGGAAGCCCCCCCCCTCCCCCCCTTTTTCGCTTGCCCCCCGAAGCTACCCCCCCCCCCTCCCCCCTTTGGCCGCTCCGGAAGCTACCCCCGCCCTCCCCTCCTTTCCAAAACGAGGAGAGGCTTAGCTACCCCCCCCTCCCTTTGGACACCTCTGCCGATAGCTACCCTCCCCCCCCCCCCTTTTTCGCCCACTCCCCGGATGCTACCCCCCCCCTCCCCCCTTTTGGGCGGCCCGGAAACCACCCCCCGTTCCCCCTCTTTCTAAAGGGGGGGAGAGCTTAGCTACCCCCCCTCCCTGGGAACCCCCCTCTGCTGGAAGCTACCCCCCCCCTCCCCCTCCTTTTTCCCAAAGAGAGGGAGAGCTTCCGTCCCTCCTGGCGGAACCCAAACTAAAACAATAACCCGATGCCCTAAACCTAAGCACTCACCCGATCCCTATCCCTAACCCGTAACCCCTGACACGCGACCTAAACACCAGGCGCCCATAACACTAACCCCTACCCCTCACCCTCTCAATCCTGACTCTAACCCTTAACCTTAAACCTACCCTCTAACCCTAACCTTCAACCCTAACCCTCAACACTAACCCAAACCCTAACCTCCAATCCTGAAACCCTAAACCATAACCCGAAACCCTAAGCCAAAACACGAACCGTAAGCCGAAGCCCTAACCATTCCTTTAACCCCTAACACGAACGCTAAACCCTAAACCCTAAACCCTTAAAGACGAAAAGCATTCCGTATTGAGCAAGCTCGAACGACAGCGCGGCGGAGGATGGCGAGCTGGTCCGAAGCGGTCAGTTCGTAGTCGCGCTAGCTCCGTCCTTCGCGAAACGCAACGACGCGACCCGACACGTCGTGTCGAGGTTGCGTTGCTACGCTTCCCCGGGGGCCGCCGCGTGGAGGCGGACGGAGATGGCCCCCTAGGTTTCTGCGCAGCTCTGGCCGACCCCTTGCGCGCGTTGCTGCAAAGCCTCGCGTCGAAACGTCGAATTGTCTACGGTGTCTTCGGGGCTCGTTTCGTCGAAATGTCTACGACAACAAGACTGCCTTTGTCGAAACGTCTGCGGGGCAGGTCCGGCCACCAGGACCCCTTCGATTCGACATTCCTATTTTTCTAATGTCGCAGACATTTCGACATTCTGACCCCGCTACTGTCGTAGACATTTCGACGAGCGGATGCGCCCCCGGTCCCGGCCCGCGATCCCAGGCGCTCCAGGGCGTTCCCAGGCACTCCCAGGCGCTCCCAGGGCGCTCCCATGCGCTCCCCGGCGCTCCCAGGCGCTCCCAGGCGCTCCCGGCCGCTCCCAGGCGCTGCCAGCGCATACAGGCGCTCCCAGGCGCTCCCAGGCGCTCTCAGGCGCCCCCACGCGCTCCCAGACGCTCCCAAGCGCTCCAGGCGGTCCCAAGCGGTCCCAGGCGCTCCCAGGCGCTCCCAGGCGCTGTCCCAAGCGGTCCCAGGCGCTCCCAGGCGCTCCCAGGCGCTGCCAAGCGCTCCCAGGCCCCCCCAAGCTTTCCCAGGCGCTCCCAAGCGCTACCAGGCGCTCCCAGGCGCGCCCAGGCGCTCCCGGGCGCTCCCAGGCGCTCCCAGGCGCTCCAAAGCGCTCCCAAGTCTTCAGCCCAGACGCTCCCAAGCGCTCCCAGGCGGCCCCAAGCGGTCCCAGGCGCTCCCAGGCGCTCCCAAGCGCTCCCAAGCGCTCCCAGGCGCCCCCAAGCTTCCCCAGGCGCTCCCAAGCGTTTTCATGTGCTCCCAGGCGCTTCCAAGCGTTTCCAAGCGTTCCCAGGCGCTCCCAGGCGCTCCCAAGCGCTCCCAGGCGCTCCTAGGCGCTTCGAGGCGCTCCCTGGCGCTCCCAAGCGCTCGCGCGTCGAAATGTGCGTCACATGAAGACTTGTATTGCCGTCGAAATGTCTACGACAGAAGGA